GTGAATTAATTTATAACAATAATTAACTTACTAACACAAGAAAGAAAACCGTTTAATAAATAAGTAAACATGTTTTGATACAGATATTTAAGTGCAAAATCAAGTTCTGCCGAACCTATGGCTGAGTCATTTCGGTTTTATACCTGGGATCTATTTTCGATTCAAAAATGGATCCACTTAAATAAATAATCGAAAGGCTATTCCTTTCTGATTCATTGCTTTAATCGAGTGCTGCAGTTTAAGATTTTGAAGACATTAATCAGAGATTTTTTTTCTGAGAAAAAATGTTACTCCGTCTTTATTTTGAACATAAACAGGCATGACGAATATCAATGACTCAACATTGAATTATATTGAACTTGAATTATTTGAATTAAAGAGCAAATGCAAAACAATGTTTAGCGATATAAAGTAGTAAATTTTCAATTTAAGTAGCAAATTCTTCTCTACGGTCATAGAACGTATTGACTAATTTATGTTACCTTGTAACATTCCACTCGCCGCTTCCCTCGTGTGGAATCCGGGTAATATCGGTTTTTATTCGTAGCGAAAGGCATTACTTCCTAAGTCGTGTCTGGGTACCTAACTACAAAGTTCCATATTGTTTACTTTGATGATGTCAATAGTTCTTGTAAATTTTTATCTGGTATTTCAACCCCTTTACGAGTAAGCCTTTTTCGCAATAAAAATCATCCTACATCATTTCCTAAAATCCATTCGATCTTCCTAGGTCATCCAAGTAGTCGATCATACCAAAATATTAGTCATAATAATAAAATCATCATAAAAATATAAATGCCTATTCTCAAGTTTTATAATAAAATGAAGGTAAGAGTTTAATAGATTGAAAGTGACAAGAATGAGGAAGTAAATGATTGGGTAAGCGGTCGACGTCCTGCGTAGGAGGACCCTTTGTCTCCCTGGATGCACGGACACCAGGACAATATCATACTAATAGATTCAATACGTAGATAACATCAGAAAGCACCTAATATGGAATAGTATACCTAAAATAATACAGAAATTACTTTCTAAATTATTATTTAAAGTAACTTTAGTACATTTTGAAATAAACCAAGCCAAGTAAACCAAGAATCCGTAGACTGACTGTAAACCTGGACTCGTTGAAAATTCTTAAATTTAGGAATAATTTAAGAAGAAATTTCCGTATTCCATAATAATGACTATATCCACTACGTTCCTATATACTCGGCACCGTGTTCAGTAAATTTTGAAATAGACGACTATAAAGTTATAAGGTAGCCTACTAGAAATACAGAATAGGAAAAGCTATATCAAAATTGCATATGCCTTTGATTTCCTGACAAAATATTATGTAAAATAATTGGTGGAATACGAAAAACAGAATCTACTCTACTCATAGGTCTGTCAGATCGTGTCTCATAGCCCACTTTCACAAAAAACTTTAAGATTTCCATACCCAAGGGGTAAAAATTGCAGACGGTCTCAAATACGAAAAGAACTTGCTTTAAATTTACAAAAATTGTTGTGATTTTAAATATAGCTTTCATATGTAAAATCTATTATAAAAAAAATTTGATCCACATACTTTAAAAAACCATACAAATTCAAGATATTTTTTAATACTCGCTTAACTTCACTTAACCACTTATTATGAAACTTTATATAGAAGAAAAAAAATCTTGAGCGTTATAAATTTCTTTTGCTTTTAACAAAAATATAGACATCATCCGTACTATGTCAATGTCGTCTAATTCGATAATACCGGTACCTGTCCAATGAACAAGTCGCGATTGTCGACTTCCGCCTTTGCGTGGGCTCCTGACCCCTTTATGTTTACAAACCCGCGGCGTAAGTGTTATCACGGTAATCATCACCTTGGTATTACTATTATCAGACTTTCCCACTGCAGGTTACTACTAATTCACTAGAGTACGTAACAATTACTAGTACCTATTAATTAAAATTCAATATATATGATATGGACCAAGTGATAAATTGAGCATTACATAATGCCCGGTCATTACGAAAAATGCCCAACATGAGAGCAATCTCATAATAATTATTCAAATATTCAAATTGTACGAGCCTTATATATATTGTTCTATACATTTCGGACAGAGAAATACAAACATTGTAATTTTTTACTTTGGATCTAGCCTAAGAACGTAAAAGAGATCACTTAAAATAAACTAAATATTAAACAATTTCAGTCTTATTATTTGGAATAATTAGCAAGGTCATCATATATTAAGAATCCACTAGTTTGTGCATTTTAAACTTAAGAAAAGTAATGTTGAAAATATAGGTAACACGAAACATATAAAAAATAAAAACTAATTTAACTAAGTAATTTCAAAACATCTTTCTTTGTATGCAACATATCTTTTGTATGTTTTATAGAAGTTTTGATGGCAGCACATTAGAATCGGCGACTACGCCAATGTGCGCCAAAAAGGGGGGAGTTGGTAGTAGGAACACACCTTCTTGACTACGCGCTAAAACGCAGAAAAGCATAGTTAAGAATAAAAAAGACAAAAAAAAAATTATTACTATATCATCCAGATACCTAATTAAAATTTAAACCGTATTTTGTAGACTTCAAAGTTTCGTTTTCTCGTGTAAAAATATATGATATACTAAAGTAGGAAGATTAAAACCTTTTTTATTACTGTTATCTATTTAAAAAAAAAAAATACTTCGAAATTCAAAATGATCGCTACGCTGTTTACCTAACTTAACCCATCACGTGACCAACAGTTCCAAAATATCGTCGATTATTTTGTATATATTTGTTTTGGTTTCTGTTAAAAAAATAACAAGCAATCAGATACATTATTTGGCATAATTAGTTTCTTATAGTAAACCGTGTCACGCGTTCTTCCGTTGCAATGCCTTATTTTAGGATTAGGATATCAAGAGAGTATGACTTACTCATACTACTACTAATCTCAATAGCAATAATAACACTAAGACACAATTTTAAAAATTTTAATGAGACTCATTTGTTAGGAATTTTGAAACTGATAAAGGGAATAGGTATTTATTTAGAGCTGATTATGGTCTAACGATCGCGAGATATTATTAAAATATCTTTACGAACGGATTGTCGTATGCGATTTTAGGATATGATTTACTTTTTGTATTTGAAATTGCTATAAAGTTAAAAAAAAACATCAATTCCACCAGCCCCGACACTGGACTCGAATCCACAACCTTTCGAAATCCGGACGACTGTTCTAACCATTGATCTGCCCACTTTTCATTTCTCATATTTATCAGTTACAATGCGGTTAATGCAAAATTGATCAAATATAATAATAAGAACATTAATTATTACAAGCTAAAGCTAAAACTTGGACTGGAAGATCCAAAATATCGTAGACTTCTATTACGCCGTTGTCGTCATGAAAATACATGTAGGTATTTTATAACGCCACCCATTTGCCGATGGACCGGCTTCCGTCTCCTTGAAAAACTCTCATTTCTTGCGACCATCGTTTCTATATGGTATTCCTATATTTTGTTGTGCTATAAAGAGCACTACTTATGTAATGCAAACTATTACCTAGAAGAGACGTTAAGTTTTATCGTTATTATATTTAATAGAAAGTGTGGTAGCATACAACGTCACAGAAAACTTATTAGCGTGGCGCCACTATTGTATACAATTGTATAAAAATGTTAACGCAGAAATTTTCCATTATATACAAAATGGTTTATGATATCTTTTAGAATCGATTCTCGAAGCCGTTCTTACTAGATAGTATAAACATTGGCTTTCAACTGGTACATTGTTTACAAACGAAGTATTTCCAGTTATTTACAACTGGGAGTTAGCCTAAGCAGATGTTTGGATCCGGGTGTGGAAGATTAAGGACTTTTAAAAACCATAAAGAAAGTCGGTAGAGATGTTTACGATATAAATAATCATACATATAAATTGATCAATCCAAATATATAAGTCGCTTTGCAAACAATATAAAATATTCGCAGAGTAAAAAGTGCACAGTTTAATGCTCAGCAAAAAGCGGATTCCTAATACATGTTGAGTGAAGCAGGCTCCGACGAAACTGGAGAACCAGGAACTAACTACGCACGCATGTGACCTTTTGCATCACCTTAGCTTCTAACATAGGTATTTTACCAATCACTCAATATCTATGTGATGACGCTTTCTATTTTTACAGATGATTATGAAAAAAATGTGCCGGCCAATAAATCAAGTAAAAGAAAAGAAAAATTATACGTACTTATAAAACAAACGTTCCTAAAAAAATATTTATTTTTTAAGCAATTAATATTACGTATAAATATATAAACATGCCTTTTATTTTTTCTTACACAAAGGTTTAGTAAAAATCACATTATGGTATAAATAGATGATGCTTCATAGATTTTAAAATAATACTAGTATGTTCTAATCTTATTAAAATCTGAATTAAAGGGTCGGTGAACATCTGACAAAAGATGCATCGCGTACCTACATAATCAGTCGCGCAATGATAGAACTGGAAGCCTACTCTAATTCACCGAAAAACGAAATATCGTTCGAAATTTCGGACGTTTCCTACCACAATTACGTTCGTTCCGAATATTCAACGAACGAAAATGTTTGACATATTTATTTTCTAAACCTACTCTCTGACGTATAGATAATATGATATTCAAACTTGGCACACTTGACGGATGATCCGTCGCGAACTAACGCATGCATCTTTAAGGCACATGACGCATCTTCCATCAGATTTGCACCGAGGCTAAAACTTCTTATCAAAAAGTAAGAAAGAATGGCACTTTAATCAAAAGTACACACATAATAATGTATAACAATATAACTAACTGCAAAGGTTAAATGCAATGATTATTATTTTTAGCTTATTTGCATTCAATGCTAAATCACAATATTTATTTGAAAAAGTTCTTGAAGAAAATAATTCTTTTAGAGAAAATTGCATTGTTTTCAATTATATTTCATGGACAAACAGAAAATGCTATGAGCCAATCGATTCACTCACCAGTCTTAGTGCAGTCAGGCCGGCCGTTTCGTACGGCAGTGTCCGGTAATGGTTTTCCGTCCGGCGAGACACACCAGCAACTGGCTGATGCTCCGGCGTTGACACACTGCACGGCAGCATAGGTGCCGTCCGCCCTGCACCTTGGCACGAATGGCGCCCGCCGGCCGGTCTGCGCCTTCAGGGCGTACCGCAACGCGATCATGCACGACGACTGGCCTTCTGTTGGCGTCACCTTAGATCTCAGGGCGTCATATAACCAGATCTCTCTCTACCACAACTACGAATCGTGAATTGAACTATGTTAAATCCTCGTGGGTAAATTAAGTGATAGTTTTCTAGTTTGAGTTAAGCTTCCAAGCTCAGCTTTCTATTAGTTCAAGAGGAACACGAATTTTACCCCGTAAAATAGATGACCGTCCTTTCTTCACGATTATAAAATTATTTATCAAGGCTCTTCAATTGAATACAACTTCATTTTTTTAGATGAATCCTGCTAGCTGAGAGAAACTCTATTGGCTTTTTCACTATGGATTAGCGTTCTAAATATATTTAACCCGAAACAATCTTAAGTGTTTGCCTCGAACTACAAAGGATCTTAAATAAAAGATCTAAGAACGGTAACTACTTATGAACGACTCGCATACGTCAACGATCGCAAGGTTAAAAGCGGACAAAGATGTTTCACATTATCAACACCACATCAGTATTGTGGAAACAGTATTTCTTTATGTAAGCTACTTATTCTTTCAGTTTCTAAACATAAATGTTCCGCTGACTTATGAGCACGAAGCCATGTTTATTTGAAATAAAGTTGTTTTGTATGAGGTAAAGAATACATTGAAATGTTAGAGAAACATTTTCCTTTTCTATTCAATACAAATCATAATCATCATAATGTTACATATTTATAAAGACGCTATAAAGAAAATGACGCTGACAAGACATACCAATACAGGGGCCTTTGTGTACAATCGCAACCGGCTCGGAAGAGCACTGGGCTTTTAACAGATGACATTTTGTGGGATAAGTGCGTCCGTCCGTCCCGCAGACGGGCCGTTTAGATCCCACGCTCGCTTCGCACGATGCCGCACGGTTAGAGCAAGCCGTGCTTACTTGTGTACTCGTCTAAACAAAAAAGAATTAAGTAGTTAGTTCAATTTCATTAAATAAAAAGTTGGTATGCGTAATTTATACGTTAATTTTAAACAAAATTTCCCAACATCTACCAGCAATTTCGATTTGCCGGCTAATAATCAATATAAAAATTAATAGAGGTATATGAGAAAGTGTAAGTGCTATAGTGTAGAAAAATCGGCCTCTAATAAAACATTGACCGTAACGCCGTCACAGTTTAATGGTTCAATCAAATAAAACTGATTCTAAGAGTTTATTTTAAGAAGATTAAATAAATTTTTATTATTTGATTTAACCTCTGGCGCAATGCGACACGGTGCTGTGCTCAACGCTACGTTCGATACTGATTTTTTTTAATGAATACCAAAAAGATTTCATATTTTTTTTGCATTTTCAGTGACAAAATAGTTTGAAACTAATTTGGAATGGTAAATCTGTTCTGTAATTCTCACAAACGTCCGCATATATAATTTTAGTATGATTGACTTACCTAAGTACTTTATTGTCATTTATTATTTTTATATAAATATTACTTCATTAATTTAATTTGTTTTTATATATTTTTAAATTATAATGAATGATTCTATATGACACTTCAATTGATCAAGGAACCGATTTTCTTAGTGTGTTGTGATCGTGACTACAAAATAAATATCTATATCATGTTTCAGTCATGTCTCGAACCTAAAGTAGTCGCGAAAGGTCATGGGTAGATTTGAGTCCCATTTCAAGAGTATCCTGGCTGGTGGATTTTTTAAAGATTTTTTTCATTCAGAATAAGAAAAAATTCCAATCAAATTAGCGATATCTATAAAAAGAACTTCACGATCGCATTGATCGCGTGAGATTCATGAATATCTTTCATGCTAAATTGAAAAGGATTTCGATCGTTTTTAAAATTAAACATTCTTAATATTATCTTATATATGGCCCTCAACAAATATTTTAACACCCTTAGCTACGCGAAGCTATAGAATTAAAGTGGTGCATATAGTAAGCGCATGGTGTTTGTTACTGACTAAAGCAGATTGCCCAATGAAGTATGGAATATAGTTTAATACTATATCGTAACGTACCTTTGTGGAACTTGTCTAATCAAAGTTCAAATGTGAAAATTTAATAACAAAATATTTATTCCTAGCTAGCCGATCTTGTACAAATTCCAAAGAAATTCGTTGAGGCTTTTTTGTATGATTTTTAATGCAACTTGAACCTTTATTTAGCTTTTTTAACATTTATTTTAAAAAATTTAGGGATTTAAGAGAAACTAAGCATTAAATAAAAGTTACCATTTAATAATATAATTGAGAAAATACCTCCGCCCGACTTTAAACGAAATTAAACCGCTATATAACTAAAATTAATACGATTTCGTTTTGTTTTTATGTCTATTTAAATTATTATGTCTATTACATTACTATTCGTATAACTTAACATGACAACTGAGGCCCTGTTATATATATCGTCGAACGAAAATTCGGAAAATTTAAAATCATTCCTTTGATTTTGTCTAAATCAGATCCATGAAGATTGGCAGTAACAGGCCTTACCTACATTCTATTTAAATTATTGAAAATTGCACTTATTTGGAGTCGCATTAGCAGAAATAATAATGAAATTTTGTTTTCGGAGAAATAGAATAGGCCGCCAGGTGTCGTGTTAATTCGTACGCGTTGTAGATAAAATCCATATGCACTGTTAATTTTTTGACGTAGTATGATAACTGCTAGTATTAAATTTACTTGTGGATGGTTTAAATAAAATATAAAAGTCTTTTCTTCTAGATTTAAAAACCTGAAAAAATACTTTTGAAGTAATTATGATTTCCGTTTCTGTGATATAAGAATTATTTCCGTTTGTTTTAAATTTAAAGTTGACTCTATTTATGAAAAAAAATTTAAAGTTGACTCTATTTATGTATTTTGTTATTTATGATACCTAACTTTGTTTTTTCTCTACCAAATTGTGGCTTGATAATTTTAATAATTCAATTACCTAGCTATCAATTGAAAAATTGGTCCATTAAAATTGAAGATTTTTCGTGGTTGTGGAAATAAAATGAAATGTAATAGACAGCCTCGCTATTTATTCCTGTATGAAACTTAATTATACGCTATATTTTGCGATAGATCACTAAACGCGTAAGTTGATTTTGCTGACAAAATTGGACATGATTCTTTTCGAATAGAAACTCATAGGTAACTATAAAATTATTGTTATTAGCACAACAGTCTATTCGTTTTGCCATTTATCATTTTCATTGTTGATATATATATATCTCATCATTGTTATTTAATAGAGGGTAGGTAAACATATTACTGATTTTATTCTACACTGAAGAAAATATGTTTAGATATTTATTTGCTTCGTTCGCGTGGTCTTTACCGATAATTGTATAAAAAGTAGCCTATATGTTAATTCAGTTTGCGTGTAACTCAAACGATCCATTACAAATTATTCCAAATAAACATCCATCGAAAGTAAAATAGAAATCACAGCGTCTGTTGGGTCAGAAAGTGTTTTTTTTCTCAATAGGAAAAAGTTATTAATACCAAGTTTTATGAGCAATCTTAATACTGGGATATCATATAAATCGTTTTCATTTATTCTATTATTTTTATGATATACAAAATCTTGTCGATTTTTTAAAGTAAGCGTTGTAGATATTTAATTTCTGATCGAGCATTTACCCTTAGAGCAACACTGACTTGAAGTGGCTTTAAATCTTTGAGTTACATCCATTTTTCCTTGAAATCGTTCCCGATTGTTATGTGCATTTATATTCAGATAGCAATCACGCGAGTATCGCTCAGGGCTCTACCATGAGCTTTTAAATGCGAAGCAAACGACGACGTTGTGAAAGTGAGACACCTATACACGCGTAAATCACCACTTAGTTACTTTAGATCACTGCAATTGAATCGCATTCAAGGATTTTCAAGACACCTGGTTGGTGGCAATATTTTCAATGCTACACGTATAGTAGCGCGTATATGTAGAGTAAATGAACAGGAAATTGGCACAAAAGGACCTTCCAATATTAAAACTTATTTCAAACAATGGTAAATGTTGTGTTGTCCACAATAGGTTTAGAAAAAGTTATGTTTTTAATTGTTCCTACAAATGTTCCATATTTTGTCTCCATAAGATTCTTGATAAGTTATGATTTTCTGTGATAAAACGAGCCTCGAATTCGAAATTACCACAACGTTGTTAAATAAAATGGGCATAGAGGTTAGATGGAATAAAACCGTTATTACATTTTAAAGGTTTTATTTGAATGAATCTCTATGCTTTGTGATTATGATAGGGCTTTGTTTGACGTCGACTTGAGGGGCAAATTTTATTACAGAATAGCTCTACACACTTTGAGCGAAACTTAAAAAAAAGCATTTTTTTCCAAATATTTAGGTATTCAATTTTAACATATTATCTTCTAAGGGTCGATTGAGGGAAATAATTTGATATTGTTCCCCATTTATGTAACAATGTGGGAAATCTGTTATTTGAACAACGAATAACAAAGATCATTGGTTGTCATCGATGGTGTGTATTATACTTTATAATAACACCAGCAGTATTATTCTATGATAAAATGAGCCTAGAACTATACTCCAAGCACAGCGCTGTGCTCATTGTTGGGTTCAAGGCTAAGTTATTAAAAAAATATCAGAGCTGGGGAATCCGTTACTATTTCAAAGACGAATGATCAGCGATTCATCTAATCGTTGGTGTGCAAACTGTTAACAACTCAGGGAATTGTTATTATAAACATACTTTTTCACTAGGTCATTTATTGTAAAAACATTTTAGTAATGTATGTCATGATTCCCTATCAGGCTGTTACGGTTGAGACGTCTGTTTGATAAATCCAGGGGATCTACCAATAGATACATTAAATATTGAAGAATAAGAAGCCTCCGTAAGGAAACCGGCTTTCGTGCATCGCCTTCCACTGAGAGGACCATTGATAGGTTTCAGTGACTAGCATGGAGCCCCACATAACCCGCTGACGTTAGAGGGTGTGGGTATGCACTAATGGATTTCTATCGTAAAAAAAAAAGAAATTAAAGCAACTTCGTACGCAGCTTAGACGCATTAAAGAACTTCATAGACATAATAGCTTCTTCAATAGGTAATTAATTCGGAGCTGTGGAACTGATATTCAAGATGGAAGGATGCAGAAGGTCAAAGGTGCACCCTTCGTGCAGATGGTCAAAGAAGAAAAAAGAAAAGTAAGATGTGTGTTTCTAGTGACGACCATCTAAAATCTTGTGATTTGAACATTTGAATATTTTCCTTTCCTTGCAAGTTTATCAGTAAATTACTTGTATTTAGAGCTAACGAAAAGAACAAAGTGTATATGGAGTTATAATAGAAACATGTACACTTGCCTACCGAAAAAGGATAACGGTTTAAAAGAGTGAAAGCACCTCAACCTACCCACAGCAAATATTGTTTTACGGCTCCATGTTGACCCAGAAATAACTAATCAATACAATATTATTATATGCTTAAATAATCCAGGAAATATTCATATTTTAATATTTAACTAATTATTAAGTACAGTTACTTGTGATAACTATTAATTAACTGTTCTTAAATATCTAACATAACTCTTTTTATTTAGGTTACTTACATAATTAAAATGGATTATTCAAATCAGTATATTTTATCAAAAATAATTTGTACCACATGAACGAACGGTAAACAAAAACACTCCAACATCTACTTGCTGAATAATTAATTACTATTTTATATGCAGAAGTTGTAAAAATCTCATAAAGGTAGTTATAACAGTTTATCCGATCAATACAATAGAAATGTGAAAGATAACAGTTTGTTCATTGCACTATATTGAACATAAATAGGACAATAAGCCATTAAACTTATCAGCAAGATTATAAAACTAGAAATATAATGACATTACTGAGGTAATATAAGAAAAAAAACACGTGTTTATTACAGAAACATATTTAAGCAAAATTGCAATAGACAGATAGAAGCATCGTGCAAAAAATATAACAAAAAAGGTGTCAAGTGTTACTTCTAAAGCTGAAACAAAAATGTATAAACACCAAATAACACTTAATTTACTCAAAATCTACACTAAATAATAACATATACATATATATATTACCTGTACATTGGTCGCAGCACTATTCACAATGTAGACGATATCGAGGAAAAATAGATAACTCACAAAATAATTGATATACATAATGTTTTCAGAATATGCACTGGCCAATTTATGACTTAATACAAGTAAAAGTAAAATTTCAAATTATAATAACACACGTTCACAAAACAAAACATCGAACAACGAGATCGATCTCGTGTCTATAGTTAACATGTTGACATACTACGGAATTGAGAGTAACGAATATTTTTGAATGACTCTATCGTGCGTGATACGAACAGGCGGTCGTCTGGAGAGAGCCGGCGCGAAGAACAGAATAAAATACAATAAGGATCGATCCCGATGCGCTCGCGTCGCCGCCGCCGCCGCGCCGGTCGTCTTGCCACGAGCAAAAAACATGCACCCCGCCCACCGCTTACCATTCGTTTCGTTCGCTACTAAACGAATAATGACGTGCCATTAGTGATAAAAACCGGTGTTGACCAATACAATCAATGGATTAGCGAATTGTTCACACAGTCAAATGTCATCAATATGTTAATAAACTGAATTTGTAGTGATTTCGTTTATCGGACTTCAAAAAGAACCGGTCGAGTGTAAGCCGTAGTTGCATGGGTTCCCCACGAGTATTGAATTTATAAAACTCTAGCTGAACTTTTTAAATCTATAGCTGAACAACGAAATTCTGTTTCTTTTTAGAGTTGCGCGTCCGAAAGGTAAAACGGGAGCCCTATTACTGAGACTTCGCCGTTTGTGATCAGGCTGTCTCATGACCGCGAAATAAGGCAGTTGAAATTTTCACAGGTGATGTATTTCTGTTGCCGCTTTAGCATCAAATACTAAAAACCAGAATAATATAAATATTTAAGTATGCTCCTAAACAACAAAAGTGAGATTTTTGCTCGTTTACGGTAAGGAACCCTTTGTGCGCGAGTCCGATTTGCATTTGGCCATCTCCTGCTTTGCCATTCTGTAATATAATTAGCCTCGAAGTTGACGTCGAGTACAGCGGTATCAGTATATAGAAGTTGCTGTGACAGCGCTGTGCTCATTGTCCAGTTTGACGCTGAATTTTTGAAAAACAGAATGGCGCTGCTGTAGTCTTTAACAATAAAGTAAAGTAGTACAAAAAAATAATAGGTTAATCTATCAACAACTTAATAAATTTGATTTTCACATTCAGGTTAATCTATGCCTTATAAATAATAGACTTCCTAAATAAAATAGCTGAAGACATGAGAAATATGAATAATAATTATGAATAAATAACTCTATTAAAGACTATATACCTGTTTTTAAGCGACTTCGGCCGTGTATATTATTAGCTTTCCGTCGGTGAAACAATTTTCATGATTAGATCAGTAATTCCGAATATCCATTATTAACAAGCAAATCTTTACCTCTTTATAACATATCAGTAGGTATAGGTATATTAAAAAATACTTTTCTGAAAACCGTTTCTAAATTGGTTCAGCTAAATGCGAAATAATGCGGCAATATATACAGCACGCGTTTAAACTCCATTTTTTTTGTCGGTTTTTAAACTTAAAACCTTTATTAAAATTAAAAACATACATAGATACATACAGGTCAAACTGAAAACTTACTTTTTCAAATAGTATATGAGAGATACATACAGCTATTATGTACGAGTATATCTTTCATATAATTTTTGAGAATTTAAAAATAGATAGGTATCTAAAATTATTATCATAGGTATCTGAAGTTATTGACAACGGTAGTCAATATGAATCGACAAAAGAGTTATTTTTTTCAAATACCCTAATCTAAACTCTACAAAAACATTAGGATATTAACTGGCACAATAGACGAGTAAGTAAGTCAACTACAAAAGTAATTGTATTGTTTCTATCTGAATGGAATCTGAACAAAGACAGAGTTCGGTAAAACCACTTCCAGTTTTGGCTTAGCTGGTTATATTCAGTTAAAAAGAAAAATAAGTACTTAGATAAAATAACAATGAAATATAACTGTAACTAAGCTGCTATTGTAGGTAATGATCATTTATCTAAAGCGTCTTTATTATGAATTATCATGTTCGGAAATCGTTTATAGTAAAATATATTTTTTTAATTATAATTATTTACTCAGCCTTGCAAGTGTGATGAACTATCAGCAGTCTGTACTCTCGATGCGTATTCCGTTTGCGAGAAGCTAGGCAACGTTTTAATTTTACCTACAAGCGGAGGTACAAGATGGCCTTACCGTCCCCACTGTTGGGTATATGCCTTGGAATCGAATCACATCGGATTAAATAGGGATAATAGGCCATGAACCTCCCCGCGGGCATAGTGCTCATAAGTGGGCGTTAACGACTGCATATGAAGCCGGACCAACGGTTTAGCTGGCCGTCCGAAGCACGTAGGAGTACGAGATATTAATTTTTTGGTCACCCATCCTATGATGAGCCCTTGCGAAAGTTGTTTAACTCGTTGAAACTAAATCTGACGCACCATTTAGCTCCTCGAGCAGACCGTCAATGAGTACTTAGAAATATGTGCGGCCTTAGAGATCTTGTATAAAGAAAAACTTTTCATTTCATTATATAGAAAATAAAGTAGCTTTATTGTTACAATGTTACATATATAACACAAAAACTATTTTCAAGTAAGTATAACGGTATCAAAATGTCTGGAACTTTAAGTCTTAAACAAGAATTACAAGAAATACTCAAAATAAGAATATCTGCTATTTTAAATTAGTTACAACTGTTTAACGAGAAATTTTATTAACGTGTTGTAGTATAGGTTAAACTACAACTTGTAATAAGCTTTGTTGATAAATCATTTTTACTTATTTAAATTTAATTGTACATTTCCTAATTAAATAACGCACACCCTAAATTAATATTTATTTAACTTTTTGAAGTCTAGATACATGCAACAATAATTCATTTTTATTTCTTGTATAACAAATCAGAATATATTTGAAAACAAAGGATATATTGGGTTGGCACAAAAGTAATGAGACACTAGAAAAAACTATAACATTTCCTTTTGAAAATCATTTTTTTTCGATAATATTCTAGAATGTTGTAGAACATTCTAGGAACTTCTGGTGTAGGGTATATAAAGCCGCGCTCGCGATTTGTTTAGTCAGTTTGAAGAAAAATGGACGAGCGACAAGTTCGAACACTATACTTATACGAGTACTTGTTAGGCCACAGTGCGCGGGCTGCGGCTGACAATATCAACAATGCATTAGGCGCTGGAAGTACAAACCATGCGACGGTGTCCCGATGGTTTGACCGTTTTAAATCAGGAGACAGGAGCCTTGAAAGTCAGCCACGCTCAGGGCGACCACCCGCAGTGAATGATGACGATTTGCGCCGCGAACTGCAGTTGAATCCGGATGCTACCACTCGTGAATTAGCGGAAGCACTTAAATGCAGTCACCACGCCGTGGAACACCATCTGCATGAGCTTGGTTATCGAAAAGTTTTGGCTCGGTGGGTACCGCACATCCTTACAGACGCCAGTCGTGCAGTCCGTTTCGCTATATGTCAGTCACTTTTGCTGCGACCCCGACGTAAAGAGTTTTTGTTAGATCTGGTTACTGGAGATAAATCATGGATTTATTACGAGAACGATACACGTCGTGCTTTTTGGCTGCCTCGAGAAGAAACGCCACCAACTCAACCGAAGCCGAATCAAAAGAACCGCCGAAAAATTCTGCTTTGCTGTTTCTGGGATGCGCAAGGCATACTGTTTTATGAGCTATTACAAAATGAAACTATAAACGCTGACAAATATTCAACCCAGCTTACCAAATTATCTGCCGCTATCAAGTAAAAACGACGAAGACGAGTCAATGTAGTTTAACTGCACGATAACGCTCGACCTCACGTCGCATCTGTGGTTCGCCGGCAGTTGGAGAACTTGGGCTGGGAGACGATACCCCACCCACCTTATTCCCCAGACCTCGCCCCATCAGACTATCATTTGTTTAGAGCCCTGAAACAGCATTTGCGGGGTAAACAATATAATGATTTCTCTGACGTAGAGGCGGAGTTGAACAACTTTTTCGAGGCACAGCCATCAGAGTTCTGGGCAAAAGGCATCCAAACTTTGCCGGATCGTTGGCAAAAAGTCTTAGATACTAATGGTAATTACATCATTGACTAAACTTTTTTTATTGTAATAATAATAAAAAAGTAAAAACTTAAACCAAGTGTCTCATTACTTTTGTGCCACCCGATATTTGTAACATAAAAGTCCAAAGCTGACCTGTGTATAGAACATACCTACCAGTATTTCTCCAAATTATTACCGAGAAACTCTATTAAGGATCCCTTTAAAACTAATGATCGTAGTCAAACAAAACTAGGTATTATTTTTTTTAGGGCTCCTTATAAACCTTTGACATATAAACGTTTCCAAAGGGGTTCCATCGCCAAAAAGTTTAATAACCGCTGGCCTAGACTGACTTCGATCCGTAACAGAAACTATCACTAATCAAATTACGAAATTGACATATCATTAATATTATCACATCTATTTTAATTATCCGGTCTACATACAATGACCTAATAGATATACGTACAGCTATTGCACAAACGTCCATTACAGTTTTCATTAGTTTACATTCATTAGAGCTTAAAGGCGTCATTAAACCTTAAAGGATGTTTGCACCGCCGATTTCGCTAATACTTTTTTTGTTGTATTTGTTATAGCGAGGAGAAAGTTCTTATGAAAGAAAAAAAAAGAAAATTGTTTTGAAAATTTTAAAGTTTACGAATATTTAACCAACATATAAAATTATTTCTAATCTAACCTAGAACTTTGGATTATAATAACTTATTAAAATCATCTCATTACGTTTGACATAGAATTGCTGCAAATATCGTCAAATAGGATTTAAAAAAACCTGTTCGAATCAAATATTTATAATTAAGACAGGACAACGTCTGTTATATAATGATTTATAAATAAACTCATTGAAAATATTATAGAATCAAGCATAACACTCTTAGCACGAATAAAATTCATGATTTTTGAATACCAGATGGATGACTGTAATATAATATTTTTGACGTGAAGCATCTTTTGGTTTGGTCGGTA